TCGATAGCATAAGCGATTCAGCAAGTACTGCTTGTTACGGTTAACATTAAACAACTACGAACATGACATAGATGACAGACGAATTTTAACCACACGATATATTTTATGTGTTTACTCATTCATATCCATTGGGACCTTAGAAAATTAATTGAAACATTTTAATTTAATTCAAGGTGTAGCTTTAGATAAACAAAATTTATTCTACAAGATAACTACATAAAATGAATATTTATTGCCTTGGGGGAGAAATAACGGATCGAAACGCAAGTTATGTATATATATGCTTTGTTTATATATGATCTATTTTTTTAACCAAACCTATTCTTATTGAAGATATCATGAAGATTGGATGTTTTAATAATAAATTTAGAAGCAAATTTTTCACTTTTCTTTAGTTTTCAGGGTTGTTGAAATGCTGAAGTCAATTAAAGTAAGTTCGTAAAGGGTTTAGAATTTTAATTAAGCTTGTATACAAATCCCATGAAAGCAAAAAATCGATAGCCTAGGAAAATCAAGCGTTAGAGTGTGCATCAAAAGTTTAATTAACCCACGAGATTGCGTAAAATTGTTGTTGTCTGTATCTTTTACAGCCAGTAAGATTGCAATCGTTCATAAAATCTAAACTAAATCGTTTACTTCCTACCTGAATAAACGACCCTACGTTTTAATATGTACATATATTAAAAATGTAACCTAATAAATTTTCACTGCAGTTATTACATGTTTATTAAAGTGTACAACGTTTATGAAACATTTCAAAACTTTCATTAAACAGTAAGCTAAATTAAAAAAAAATGATTAACTTTAATAATTAACATAGCTAAAATGTATCTCTATGTAATAGACTTTGATGAAGGTAGCATGGATTACATAGAGGATGCAATTTACCGGAAAATCATTAACAGATAGAACTTGATAGAAGGTTAATTCCGTTTCGATATAACCCCTTCTGAAATTACCTCTATTAAGTATTGATCTTGCTTAATATGTAAACTAATGGCCTCTTTTTGGTTCTAATATAATTACAGTTTTAACCAAATATGGTAAGTAGATTGTTAATCAGTATTATAGCTTGAAATAACTCCTATACTACTATATCACCAGAGTTTAGAAAGGATGAAGGATATATGTTTATAAAGTAGTGTTGAAACACGTGCACGTGAGTATACCAACTACAAATCTTCTGGGATTATATAAAATGTATGTAACAGAATCGGTGCACTATATTCTTGTATAATGCAACCGAATATCGTATTTCAAAATATCATCTTTCTACAGGTTCATCACATTGAATTTTATCGATGATGATGATAATATCTCGAAAATAGTCTCGAAATTCTTTCATTTTTATTACAAGTTATTATTTTCTATCAATTTAACTGTCTATTATTTGATTAAATTCCCAAAAATTTATGGCTACCGCTAATATAGCAGTTTTCAGGTGAAATTTATAATGCTTGGCAAGTTCCTATTTGTGAGGAACAAACATTATATTACTAATTGTAAGTTATCGCAACAATATTTAAACGAAAATGCAATAATATAGACCTACACCGAACATTTTGTGTGAAAACAATGTGTGATTCTTTATTATGAGTATCATGGAATATTTATTACTATCTGTAAAACCCGGACATTTTCGCGAAATTTCTGAAGGTTAATTAGTTTTGTTTTTATATCGATGTTGATTAGATAGAACTTATCATAAAGCTCGTAAAACAAATTTTTGTCCAATTAAATTATTTCTGAAATTAATTAAAAAAATTCAAACTTTTCCTTCCAGCAGTTAAACAAAAGATTAGAAGTTACTTAAAGGTAAGTATCTCACACAGAGATCATGACTATGTGTTTATGTATGTATTCTTCCTTAGTTGCTGTTCGTAATTGTTGTTAATATTTTACTCATGTTTTACTCTTTCATTCACTGCATACACAGAAAATGGATTACAATGACCACTGCAGGCGTTTAGAATATAAACAGAAAAAGTCAAAATGGAAACAAATATTACCAAAAAAAAAACCTATGGTAATAACTATAGTACCGTGCAAATTTAAACTAGAAGTGAACAGCCACATGATAGAACAACACTTATTTGGGCGTAACCATATCGTTTTATGGAGAACTTAAGAAGAACGTAAAAAGCCAGGGCAACAAGTCAGCTAGAATAGGGAGCACTAAGAACAACCATCCTGAGAAACAACTGCATATGTACCAAAACCAAAGTAAGGACATACAAAAGCCTACATCAAGTCAATCAGGATGTACACTGCGGAAAAGCGGACAGACGCAGTGAAAACCACAAAGATGGTGCATATCAACGAAATGGTGATTTTGAGAGAAATCACGGGAAAACCACTATGGGATCAGAGAACAAGAAAGGAAATTCTAGAGGGATGCGAGGTTGAAAATGTGATGGGGAAGAATCAGTTTGCGGATACATATAACCATATTAATTGGAAACTCACAAGGGAAGTTCAGCTAACTATGTGAAAACTCAGTGGTACATAACTCAGGTATTCATCAAATAAAACATCAAGATGGCAAAAAGTGTTAGATATCTAAAAAGCTAACGAAAGAACTAAAAAATGAATTCTGTAACTGAATTAAGTAACTAAAGGAGCATTAAAATTTTCCTAGGACTATAAATGCAGTTAAGGCGGAATAGTATTTCTCATCAAATTTCAAATCAAAAAACTACTGCTTGCATTATCTTTCATTGACTCCAAAACCATAAAATCATTTTTCATTTATTCTCGAAATGGCAAATATGAATATGATTTTTGACACGAATTTGATTTAACTAAATATAGATGAATCGTATTCATCTAATAATTGAGCACTAATCTAATAATTCACACCAAGTTTAATCTCATTTTAAACTACAGCAAGTATGAATGGGGAAATCATGATGATTTCATTGAAATGGACATTTGAATGGTGGACGAGGGTTGAATTGGTATTCTGACACATTGTTAGTGTCTTTCAATGTGAAAACGTAGATATGGTAAATGATTTGCAAATAGAGGAAAAAAAAGAAATGTAAAATAGGGTATTTTTAGTATTAATAAAGATGTACTTATCTTGTCATAAGTTATTAGATTTTTTTTATAAGCAGGAAATTATAGTGCAAGGTTTCTATACAAATTCTTGCATAAATTTCCATACTTTTCAACACCCACCTTTTGCGTCGCCGTTTACGTTTTATCGGTTAAATATGCGGAAGAAACGCAATAACTTTGTAAATTAAAATATTTAAATGAACCGCGATAAAAGCCGATTCAACTGTAAATCAACAATAGAAGTATTTTGAATACATTAATATCTTATAGGTCTTCTATTGTTCATTAAATAAGAAAACATTAACTTTTTTTTAATTTACTTTCGTACAATATAAATGTGTTCTCTAAGTGGTTAATGGACACCAACGTCCCGAAGCTATCTCAACTTTAGTGTCGACAATGGAGTCAGGCGTTCGTCGATAATCGTGATTCAATTCAATTGAGGGAGCTGAGGAAAAGGGCAGCCGATTGGTCGCTATCGAAGTATGGCAAGTAAGTCATATCACGTGCCATTATCAGGACTACGTCGTTCATCTTCCTTTCACCTAAATCAATAACAAAGGTAGCCATCTGAAACATTAACCTTTATCTTTCTCTTAATAGCCAAAAAAAATTTCAATAAAAGGAAACAAAATAAAATTGAAAACATTTCAATTTTACTTTTTCAAAGAAAATTATACTTCCAATTGTAACATCAATCGATGTAAAAATTAAAGCTTTGTAGTTCGAGAAAAATCGTCCATGTGATTACAAATGTGATTTGGAATTTACATGGATAGAAAACTATACGAATAAATTGGTAAAGAAATTAAATGACTTAAATTTGTATAAATACCGATGTAAATAAGGTATTTTGGTTTGGTAGTGATACATCTAATCGAAAAACTTTTAAGGTTAAAGTACTAATTTGAATTATAGTGTTGATTATTTTAGCTAATTTATATTGATTAATTTTCATTATAGCTTCAAATATATTGAGTGTTATAAGCTACAATACAAAACAGAAATAAAATATGTCTGTTCCCATGTTTATAGTACTCTTTTTTTTCAAGGTGTTTTTATTCCTACAAGCCATCATAAAATATAAAAAACAGTTGAGGGATGAAAATCTTTACTCAAGTGGCAACGCCCGAGGTCGGAGAATAGTCCAGGGAATACTTTCCCTTTTGTGACTTGACGGGGTCGTATTATTTGCAGTTGTATAGAGTAGAGTCGTAAAATACTGTTTCTCAAAGAACAAAAGTTTAAGGAGAGAAGCTTTATAGTCAAAACACATACGTCTCGCCGAGCTATCATTTCAGTTTTAGATTGCATAAACCGTGATTGTTCACTAACACCTTTCAATAATAAACGACAAGCAAAATCACAACCTTTGTTTGTGTATTGATTGCAATACCGGCGATAGGCGAGATAGGATTCGTGTTCACAATTTTGTTCGATACAACATCCCTTACGGCGTTATAGCCTTTATGTTCGATTAAATACACGTGTTGAAACGACAGAAATTTCTATAGAATCACAAACTACCATTAATCAATACCCCTAATTTACAAGTCATATAAATATAAATTAATTAATTCATTTGATGTTTTAAAAGTACTGAAAAGAATTGATAGTAGAATTTCCTTTTGGATTCTTCTTCCTTTGTGTATCGTTTTCCTTAAAATCTTTCTCTCGGAAACCCGGAAACCAGGAGATTCGAATTTTATAAAAGAACTTCGAATCTCTGATACAGTGCCCGCTGTCAACAGCGACCTTGCGAATATCCTGGTCCCTCGTCTCCACGCTGGTATTTTCGTGTAACCTTATTTTTTTGTAAAGGCAGAAATTCAAATCAACCTTTGTATTTTTTTCCATCTCTCGAATCTCGTGTATAAATACCGAAAATTTCTTATTCCACTCAGTTACCAGATAGACTCTTATCCGATTGATTGTGAGTTTTCTTCCCCTTCTATATAAAATGTTGAGATTGGTAAGGATTTATTACTTATTTTTTCATTAAAATTTAAATTTTAATCAGATTATTAAAATAAAATTAAATATTCTGTGCGAAATTTAACAAATGTTCTTCCCTACTTCATCAAACACATCAAATATTTACTCGAGAAAAAAATCTTGAAAATTTAAATTCCCCATTCTCTCACTTTTAATATCAGCATAATTCGCAACGTTATTAAAAAAAAATGAATATCTAATATAGGTGTTATTGACGGCTTTTGTCGTTGTTGCTTTTGGAGAAAGTCCAAATATTCGCATTCTTTATCAAAGACAAGAAATTGATCCAAATCATAGTTACAATTGGGCGTAAGTAAAAATAGTTAATTTAGATCAATCATTGATTTCAAAATGATTATAAAAATTTTTGTTTTAAGTTACGAAACTGAACATGGAATTAAAGCTAACGAAGAAGGTTCTTTGTATACAGTAGCAAATTCTCAACCTGATGTAGAAATCTTAAAAGCAGAAGGAGCTTATAGTTACACATCTCCAGAAGGAAAAGAAGTTCAAATCACTTACGTTGCCGATGAAAATGGATTTCAACCAGAAGGTGATGTCATTCCAAAAGTTCCAGAGTATATCTTAAGAGCATTAGAATATCAACGTACTCATTAATATTGTTTTTATATATGTAATGTTTAACATAGTTTTAAGATTGTTATAAACTTTAAACCAATACAATTTTTCTTTGTTAAATAATTGTAGTTACATATCTTGGTTTGCTAGAAAGTTCCATGTAAACGAGGAAAATTCATGCTGCTAATACTAATGAACTCTATAAACCATTATCGTAGACATTGATCACTTTACAATGGAGCTTCATTTTAGGGCAACCAAATTGGTGTATAATAAATTACAATTAATAATTTATATACCCTTAGGAAAGTTATAGAATCATCTAGAGATATTTAGAAATTCGCTACGTAAATTGCTCTTCAAACTGTAATAACTATTGATCAAGAGATAACTCGTAACAGAAGGAAAATGCGTCGGTATATTATGGACTGCTATTCCACGAAGTTAAAGATACATTATACTCGGAAAATGAGTGTTGTTTTGCAGTGATTTCAGGGATATGTTTTCTTATAAATAACGTCACTTCTCTCGTTTATATTATTAAAACAATTTTAATTATGAAACAATATTTTTTACAAATTTTAACATTCCTACACAACAAAACAACACACAAATCGAACTATTGACCACTTCTGTCAATAATCCTCCACTACGTTCTGGACATGCTTCAATATTGTGGGGGTTATTGAGGTATTTAGGATACCTCTCAACATTGTCCCGGACAATTGTCTATAACATCCTTGTCACCCATCAATAAAATATCGAACATCCATCGTCTCCGGTATTCGTCGATATCATTCCACACATCTCTCAATATTATCGCAGACATCACTCACCCGGTCATCCTACAATATGATCTACATCGCCCCTTTACATCATCCAAAAATTTGTTTAACATTGTATCTGACAACCTTCAACATCGTCCTGAACATCCCTCAAAGTCGTAAATGGCGCACCTCAACATTATTCTAGACACTCCTCAACATGGTCTCTAACAACTCTCGACATTACCTCAAAAATCCCTCTACATCGTCCCTCGTACCCCTTACAACATCATCACGCATATTTTTCTATATCATTGCGGTCCAAAGACACTCCTCAATATTGTATTATATATCCCTTAACATTGTCCTTATGTCAGTAATCATACAAAATCAATAATTTCGTTTAATGCATTTATTTTTCCACCTCTTTAATTATATGACCAACACAATTTTTCCAAAACAAAAATTTTGATAAAATCATAAGTTCTGCAGTAATATCAGCTCTCACTCCTATCTATTTGGGATTCATAATCTTTCCGGTATCCTTACATTCTTTAATAGCACGGCAAACTGTTAATTTTTCAACCGCTACAAATAAAGCAATGTTATTTAATTAGATATTATTTTTAAAACATTTGTCTTACCAGCATCTTCGACAATTTTATCGATATGGCTAATTTATTGGTTATTATTGTTTTATATCTATTGGTTATGGATAGGACGAGATATGGACGGACGTGGTGAAGCCGGGGACTGAGAACAAACTGAGAGAAAATGAATGCAATGATGCAGACTAGGTTAGGCAGAATCGTAAGTGATGACACGGAGGATAACATAGTGGTGCTCTTGGAATTCGTATATGTTGTAATGGAGCTAACAGGAGATTGCAGCCAAACTGGGGAAATACGAAGTAGAACCAGCAGTACGTCAGTAGCTCAGTAACTACCAAGCAGCATAGACATATTCAAGAGGATGATTCTGAGAAGGATTTTAGGCCCAATATATGGAAATAATGTATAGAGAATAAGATATAATCAGAAACTACACAGCTACTATAAGGAGTCAATGCTTTCACATGAAATTTCATCTATATAAATCTATATTATATCATTTTTTCTCTTTGGTGGCAATATGATAGCAGATTAGAAATGCCTATGTGTTATCTTTATGGATTGCCTGAATAATATACATACATCAGAATAAATTATTGCAGTTAATATCTAAAAAAATCAGAACCACACGTTTTACTGAATCAATTGCACCTTTATAAAGCTAAAATGCATGCTATGCTTTATGAGTGAATTATAAAATAAATTTGTGAATAGTTAAGTTCAGACAACTTTCATTATTCATTTGATTAAATATCGATTTATAGTATTCCCATTTAGCTAACGTTCTGTTATTGCATATTCCTTGTCACGCAACACTAGACCTTTGCGGTGTTTAATTCACGCAATTGAACAATGAGCACTTTTGATTAAAATAAAAATATATATCGTGAACAACGAAAATAAATTGGAAATATTTATAATGTCTTGTAGCCTATTTCTTTAAAGGTTAAAACAGAAGTTAGTTTTAAAAATTAATTTGGATCCATTGGTTGAATAATGGGAGTTGTACTAAATGTTAGGATAAATTTGATTAATGACATTTTGATACATCAAATCAGTCTATATTATGATCTTCCGATACTCGTGATTCTACGAGATTTATCCCAAAAATCAGCATTACGTATAATTTCAATAGCATACGTGTAATTTTGAGAATATAGAAGGAAATCTAAAAATCATGACAATAAATTCCAAAACAAATCTGTACCATATTGACTACTCCACCATACTGACTCTATATTAATTGTTGATACCAGTATACATTGTGGGAATGTAATCTGAGGATACAGGTTTCATTTTAGATGGTACAACATTCATAACTTGTTCTAATTCCAGGGTACATGTAGCCTCGCGAAATCGATTTTTAGCCATTCAGGAAGTAATATTCTGTAATTGCTTTGATTTTGCTGTATCTGCTCGACTGGAAAAACGATTTACGTGTTATAATTGGATATAATACCATCTTATGCACCATATCTAGAAACCAATTACAACTCTTTATTTAATCAATATGCAGCAATTTCAATTGATATAAATTAAATAAATCTTGAAATTAAATCGTTGGTTATTTTCATTATTTAAATCTTTTTGCTCGTGGATTAATTAGTAAATGGATGTAACAGTTCAATAAACATATCGAAAATCCAAACTTGGCAGCGGATTGAAATATTGAGTTTACCCCAAATTGTCTTACTTAAATACACAGATTTAGTGATAGACTGACTGACTGATTAATGCAGAGGTCCCACTATCCAAATAGTCAGAATTACAGCCACGCTACAATTGAAAGCACATTCGGTAAATAGTCGCACACTTTCCGCTTCAGCTACCATTCTGAACTATTTGAATTATTCAAAGCGTGAAGTATTTGCGTGCGCCTAATCCAGCATAAAATCTGGTTCGAAACTTTTCGTAGTTCACGTACCACGTGTTTTAATGAAGGGTAATTAGCCCGCTATTTACATATATGAAGTGTTATTAAAAAGTTGAAGTTTATTTTAATTGGTTATTCTATAAATTGGCAATATTTAAAACGGTAGCGTTTCGAAAAAGAGGTGTTTTATTACCGTTTTGACGTTAACAATTTATGATGGATATCCTGTGACAGCAAATGGAGGCTTCTATATCTCCTATGTAATAAATAGGGTGATAATATTTTGGATTGATTTACAACTAGCAAATTAATATAGATAGCTTTATATAATAACTTCCTTTTAAAAAGTTTCTTTTTAGATTAAATATGTGTTCCATCCTTTAAAGTTATATAAACTAAATAAGTTACCTAACTAGGATTATACAAAAAACTTTTAGTTGGTGTATAAGGCACGTGGCATGATTTATTATTACATTTATAAACGTTACTCAATCATATAATATGATCTGACGCATCATAATGTTAAAAAGCTATTTTTCCCGATACTTTGTAAGAATGAGAGGCTATAAAAGCAATCTTCCCGGTGGGACCGAAAGGGAAATGTATTTCATGTTACTTGGCAGTAAACGAGCTTTGTGTTTCATTATTCTGTGACCTAAATCGGTGCCTTATGCAGTTGTCATGACAGAATAAGAACTGTCACGAGTCATAACGTGGTAGTAAATTAATCTAACTATTATTTATTTAGCGTTTCATATTATTATTATTACAAAAAAGAACTTATTTTCCACCACATTGCTATTTTTATAAATAAATTGCACGTCGTTTACCAAAATCGATATAATTACGGTTAAAACTATTAATTTATTAAATCGTTTTGACCTATCTTAACCGTTTTCACACGCAAAAATAACCGAAGAAGTCTAAACCAATAAATTTTGATGTTATGACCATGTTTATAGGTAAGAAAACACGACTGAAATATAGATAAAGATAGACATGTTAAAACAACAGTTTACTTGTCAACGCTATTCTAACATTAACATTATCTAGTCCTTCTCCGTAATGTTTCTTTTACGATACCAATTCCGATCGATTATCCATTATCCGTTCTCATCACTAATATAAAAGCGTCAAGGAGACATCGACCCTAGGTATTACCAATAAAAGTGCAATTTCTACTTGTACACCCCACGGTTACTACGCAATTTATGCAGTACACAACCGTAATGGAAAATGGGGGGATTTGCTCCGAGTGACTCACATCCACTCACGCCCATTTACAATTCAAAATCTCCAGGGTTGTGAGAAATGTATACAGAATGGGATAATAGAGAATGATTAATAAACTAATCGATATACAAGCGCCGGTCACTATAAAGCGTAATTAGAACTTTGTCCAAAAAGGACTACGTCGAATATAAGCGATGAAATGCGGAGTTTGTCAAGTTGGGGATTTCTACGAAGGTTCTAAAAGCCAACTTAATTATATTTACCATTTGTTGACGTTACTGAAAGGGCGACAAAAGTGAAGAGGGCCTGAAGTTTAATAGCAAACCACTGAAACGTTGGCGAAAATATATCTGAAACAGTGAATTATTTAAAAAATAAAGTCAAAGTTTAAATTGAATCATAACAAAATAAACAATTACTTTTTTTGGTTCACCTAAATACTTCTGAGGTGACGTTTACATACTTTATTTCATAAAGAATTAAGAATAACACCATCATTGTTTAAATTTTAAAGTAGGATATGGCACAAAGCAGAAAAGGGGGGAAGTTTATGAGAAGGTAAACAAAATTTAAATTTGGAAACCGTTGTCTGCTTTGGTGGAACGAGATTCAAACGAAAATTGGATTTCGTTTACTTGAGAGATTTATAAAGAAACTTGTAAAATGTATCAACTCGCAGAACGCAGTTTTCTTTCCATCTAAGCGAATTTCAATTGTTTTCTTTGGGTTTCCACAAATCGTCTTCAACTTTCATACCATATTCGTATGTCAACTTTAATATATAACATATTTTTATTTTGTTTTAATAAAATT